TGTTATTAGCAAATAGTTATATGCTAGGTACGCATTTTGTCGTTTATATATTAGCTTCTGTTTTTATGCTGTACTTTTACTGCAACTATATTTCCCTTACTTACTGCTTTCACTGTTAGCCAGAGGAAGATTATTCTACACCACAGCTTTGATATTTTTACTCCGCAGATTTTAGCAGATTAGGCATTCCTTTAATTCGACGGTCAAGATGACTGTTTTTGTTCCTAACAGGTGTCCCTCTGGCGCCTTTTTTTCCTCGATCATAGCATTGAAATGTTGTTTTGATAGAGTGTTTTGCAATCGTGATCATCATAAATACCCTCTTTCTCTTCTGACTACTCCACAGTCTGACGATACTGGCCACCTGTGAAACAAGCGCATTTTATATTAAAAAGTAGAACAACTAAAATATTTGTTCGATGATGATGAAAACGGCTGCAACTTTACTCTGTTTGGCTACAAACTTGCTATTTCTTCAGCTTCCAACTGCATGTGAACCTTGTGAAGAGGGCTTCTGCAATGTTAATGAAAATCGTCAGCCGCAAATGCTTACCTCGAAATTGACATTTACTGATAAAGCCGGAAAAGTGTTTTCGAAAATCAAACGTAACGTAATGGCCTGGCGTTCTAGTGGTGGAAGTAACGAAGAACTTGTCAACAACTTGCGTAGTAAGTTAACAGTATTTTTACTTCCTAATTGCTTTGTTGTCCTAATCATTTTCGCGTTTCTTTTTTTTTTGCCGGGAAAAAGTTGAAAAAAGCGAAGTCATCGGGCAGAAATCTGATTTTTTTGATTGTTATGTAGCTCTTTTTTTTTTCTTTTGGTTTTAACCCGCTTTTTGCCAGTAACTAGAGACCTTACTTACATATAATAATTTTAAGGTGCCAATCTAGAAGTTTTACTTTTGTTTTATTCTGTAGCTGTATTTTACTGTTATTGATCAGTTGTAAGTGTACGTAAAAAATTGAGCGCAAGTGACTTAGGTGGAAGTCTTGAAAGAGTGAGTAGCAGCCAGATTATTTTATTTCATTATTTCTTTAGATTTCGCTTATGACGAGCTGTTTGTGTTTGTAAACAAATATAGACATTTGATTATCTTTGTCTGGTTTATCTTTATAGGTTAAGATATTACAATTGTTTAGGAAATGGGATATTTAGTGATGAAAGAGTGAAAAATGCACTGCTAAAGGTTGATCGTGGAGACTTTGCGCCAGATACTCCCTACGGCGATCACCCAGTTTCAATCGGCTATGGTGCCACTATAAGTGCACCTCATATGGTAATCTATTAGTATTTTCCTTTCTTCCCCGTTAAGCTAATTAACTTTGTCTTTAGCTGGAAAATAGCGGCTTGCAGTTCTAAAAGTTTGTTACAGAAAAAGATTTCCTTTCAGATTAAAATTTACGAGTCGGTTTAATCTGTAAGAGCTCTACGAAATTTAGTGCTAAGACAGTTAATGAAGTATTCGTGGTAGGGAAGACCATCAGGTTGTCGTGTAACAGGCTTTTATCACTTGTAACGTTTGTTAACAACTGATTTCCCTTTTATCTTGTACACAGTTGTCATTTTTTGTTTGCACCGTTGGAAGTCTTTTAAGAGGAAATCTGCTTGAATCTTCTTCATTAATTGCGTCAGTTCTTCAGCACGCATCCTCACTCCAGTTGCTAAAAGATCATCTTAAAGATGGGGCTAAAGTGTTGGACGTTGGTTCTGGGTCAGGCTATTTAACAGTTTGTATGGCTCATATGGTTAGTTTTCAACTGTGAAACTATTTGGTGCTTTTATTCTTTAGTTTTTTATGTGAAGTAATAAGGATACAAGCAAGCTATGGGCTAATACTCCTTGGGTTTTATAGGTTGGCGACAAAGGGAAGGTGATAGGAATTGAACACATTGAAGAGCTTGTTGAGCTCTCCAAAAGAAATACGAAAAAAAATCATGCGGAACTTTTGCAAAGTGGAAGGATATTGTATGTGGTTGGGGACGGGCGCGAAGGTTATAAACCGGAAGCACCGTACGACGCTATTCACGTCGGGGCAGCAGCTCCTAGCCTTCCAAAAGAGGTACATTTATAAGTACCTCTCAAAATATCTCTTATCCCGTTTACTTAGAGGTATACTAAAACATAATTTTTAGTTAGTCAATCAACTAGCCCCTGGGGGCAGGATGTTGATCCCCGTAGGTGCTGTGCAGAGCGGCCAAAGGTTCCTCCAAGTCGATAAGGACCAAAATGGCGAAGTCAAGGTTTCAGACCTAATGGGAGTTATATATGTACCATTGACCGACAGGAGTCAACAGATCGGCTGATGGGTGGCAATGTTTTTTGCTTCAAACATATTTGCCGTTTAATCTCTCTTGGTTATTGTCTCCGTTTTAAGTGCCCCACCGAATTTTTTATTGTAAAATGCCATGGGTCTTGCTGCTTCCAGTTTCGCTTACTTTTTTTTTACTCGTTAGAGCTTATCATTCATTGAGCGCCCAGAGCATACCAACACAAATTTTAATGAATGTCACCGCCAGTAAAATGTGCTCCAATGTTTGTTGCTGAGAACAAACCAAGCAGCCTCGGCGCGGATTGCGCCGGCTACCTGTAGAATTAATACACATTCAGCACCCCCCTCAGATCTTCCGGCGCACGCCATCCGCACTCGTGCTGTACCACAGCCCCCCATCGGTTACGCGCAGCCTCACAAATCTGACGTACTGTAACAACTCTCCCCAAATAATGCAATTGTGCAAAGACAGGCAGCTCGTCCAGTGTTTTTAATAACTTTTATACATGCTATATATATTTGTGAGATCACCACTGTCCACTATTCTCTCCATATTGGGGCCCTCCGCTCCAAAAATCTTCTTTCCTTGATGCTGTGTAAGGGCCGTCATACCTGCTCCGTTTCGAGATACCGTTTTCTCGGTCACCATGGCTTCTCTTGAGACCACCTCCATATCTGTAACAAACCTAATTTACCATACGAGAAGGTAAGAAACCTAAAACAAATGAAGGGCCAATGCTTTTGAGGGGTTGAACAGTAACATTTAGGAAGTAACATGGTTGGTGTGGGGACCAATACCGACCTCTTCCCCGAGTTCCTAGTGCTTAAACTGCTGCTCCTTTCAGCAAGTTCAATTAACTGGGGAGGAACGGCCTGGTTTGCTTCCTTCATAACTTTAATCAAGTCACGGGCTTTCGAGGCGTTGTTCGGTGTAAAAAACGTGTACGCAGTACCCTAAATTGAGTCAGCCAGTGAAAGAGCCTCAACCAAACAAATGCCTTAGCGACCGGGCCGCAAAAAAAAAGGAAGTTAACCTCATTCCTTAACTAACCTTCTTCTCGCACCGTGCCGTCCGACCGATCCTATGAACATAATCCTCTGAGTTGTTTGGATAATCATAGTTGATGACAAACTTTATATCATCCACGTCTAAAAGATTTCATGCTACTCAACAGGTCTTAACGTGAACAAATCCGACAAGACAAACCCACCAAACTGTCCTGCTTTTCGCTATCTTGACACAGTTGCGTTAAAATTTAGAAAGACTAGAGTTGAATAAACACTTCATCCCTACTCCAAAAGAACAGCATCGTTTACGGAATAAATGGTGATAAAGGAAATAAAGTGAACAAAAACATTAAAACTACATGTTTGGGGAGCTGCTACTTAGACCAACAAATATACGCACCTTACTGACGTCGGACCACGTGAATCAGAGCAAACACATTATTGTTGCGACCATTCAGAAATCGAAAATGGCACATCTATGTGTTCGGCAGATACGACTTCCACGTACAACTCGTACCGGTAAGAAGCACCGATACAACTTCGTACTTAAAATATATTCCTCGGCCCTCGTGAAATAACTGGAACTTCCCCACCTACCCCTATTTCCGTCAACCTACAGAAATAAAAATTTATGAAACGTAAAGCAAGGAAGAGTTCTGACACGAGTAAGATTACACAAATAAGCATAAATGAAAGCAACCCTTCCAAATATTCATTAAGATTTTCGAGAGCCGAGCTAAAAACACAACCTATGTACATAAATAAGAATCGCAAAATTGAATTTACACCTCAGTCATCTAACAATAAACTATACGACACCAAGTTAAAAAATTGCTTGAAAAGACCTCAATGAGAAACTTCTGTTATATTTAGCTAATAAAGCTTGGAAGACAGGCCGCAGTCCTGCATAAGTAAAAAAAAATGTGGTCGACGCCGGTGCGTAAATCAACGACTCCTAGACCTTCAGTTTTAACAAATGCAAAACCTTACCTAGACCTCGCGCAGCAACATCAGTCGCGAGTAATATTGGAGTTTTCCCAGTCTTGAATTCTGAAAAAAACCTCAATTACCTAAGAGAAGAGTGTAAAATTGAAGTACATTCTGAAAGCGTTTTCATTTGTGGGACAGATACTATCAAACTCCGTTCATTAAGGAACACGGCGCTAGCGACACCGCCCCGACAATGCTATACGCCTACTTGGGAGTGCATAAAGCAAAAAGCTCTATACATATAGAAAAGGCGATCAACCTAAACATTAAAGTAGGTGGATACACCAGTAGTATAGCTAAATATAAGCTACCATTTAACACCCAATCCCTTTCGCTTTGATTTTTATCACCGTGAATACAAAGGGTCGGCCAACCATCACGACGCATAGCCCTGGTTAAATCGTCAGCTTTCCTTTTTGTTTCTACGAAAACCAGCGTCTTACACTCTGCCTAAAAATGCTCTTGTTCCATCCACACTAAAGAACAAAAGAATTACACACCTGGTTCATAATATTCTCCAGCAAAGTCATCATACGAGTCTGCTTTTGATACTCTTCAACCACTTCCACAAACTGCGTGATGTTATGATTAGCAGCTAATTCGAGCGAACCAACATTCAAGAAAGCATGATCATTTTGGAAATCTGCAGCTAGTGATCGAACTTCTTTTGGCCACGTTGCAGAAAACATCAGCGTTTGTCTGTCCGGCTGCAAGAGACACTTCCAAATTAAGAACTACAGAAGAGCTTAAGCAGGAAATTACACGTAAGGACTTGTCTTCCACATGGTTTTCCATAACAATCAGAGTTTCAGTGAAACATACGCCATGATTAGGAATATGTGGACAAGCCCGGGCAGTCTAATGACGCCACACGGACAAATTATATTGGATAGAGCGATTCAGAAAACGGTCAACAATACCGTCTGAGTCCTCGCGAAGAAGAAATTGATTTTGATCAAAATCTTAATCATCATCTATCCTTAAGTGAAACGTTTCCACAAAAAAATAACTCGAAAAATGTGAATAACGTATCAGAACCTTTACTTATTTTCGCTAAAAGCCAAAACCTACACGTATCTGGGAAACAATTTTTCTGATTTGGGGCTCGAAGCCCATATCCAGCATGCGATCTGCCTCGTCAAGTACGAGGTAACTACACCTCTTAAGATTTGTAGTTCGACTTTCCAAAAAATCCAATAAGCGGCCAGGGGTAGCGATGACAACATCAACACCTACAATGCTTGGTGAGATAAAACAACTGTTCCGAGCGATATATATATATATATATATATATATATATATATATATACTCATATAAATAAACAATATAGACATGTATATTGTATATCCCAGTAATTATATTTATTTATTTTTTCAAGAAATATAGATGCGATTTCTCAAAGGACAGCTTGTTTGGCACTTTGTTTCGTTTTATTCTCTGTTTTAACAAATAAGTAATTTTTTTTTTTTTTTTTTTTTTTTTTTTTTTTTTT